CAGCCGGGGGCCACCCGGGGCAGGCCGAGCCTGGCTATGTAGGGCCCCGTGGCCGCAGGGGGAAGGACACTGCTGGTCGGTGCTGTGGGGGTTAATGCAGCCCCCGCCCCGGGTGGCCGCTGCAGGGTGGCCGCTGGGAGCTGCTGCAGCCCGCGATCCGGGAGCCGGGCACGTGGCGCCTGAGGACAGCTATAAGGGGCGCCGCACACCCCTTACAGCTGCTATCAGGTGCCCCCATAGGTTGGTGCCCTGGGCAGCTGCCCAGCTAGCTCCCCCCTTAATCTGGCCCTGTCCACGGCGTGGAAAAAGAAATCACAGGCCTTGGTGTCAGAGCCGTGCCAACCGGCCCCTGCAGCGTGGATGCAGCTATGCAGGAGGAAGGATGCGTCCGTCAGCACAGCTCCCATCACTCCGGGAGGTGGAGCAGCCGTGCTGGGAGCAGTGATCCTGTTGGTGTGCTCTAGCACTACCTGAGGCTCTGCTTTCCCCCAGACCCCAGCTCTGCCCTGGGGTACGGCACCATCCTCGGGCTCCGGTTTGTGACGGGAGAGAACCGAGCACGGGGCAAGGTTTTGAAAAGAGCCTCTTCCCCTAGGATTGCGGCCAGAGCTGAGACCACCAGAAGCCCCCTCACTATAAACCAGAGGCCTTTCTCCAAGCAGGGTCCTCCACTTGGGAACTTGCTCTTCTCCCCTCGCCCCGCCCCCTGCTGCATGTTCCACCAGGGCCCGGGTTTGTAACCCTCCCAGCTCTTGGCCGTGCTCCCCTTTCGTCCTTTGTCAAGGCTGCTGGGGTAGGTGCGGGCTCTGGTGGGTCTGTTTATGGGCAGCTTTGGCCTCTGTGCCGCAGTAGGGGAGGTGCCCTAAGGCTGCATTCCAAAAGTGTGAACGCGAAGAAATTAAATGGAAGGGCAAACTGAGGCACGGGAGGGGAGGGGAAAGTGATTTGGTCAGGGTTATATAGGGAGGCAGTGGCATAACTGGGAATAGAACTCAGATGTCCTACCGCCCAGCCCCGGGGTCTCACCAGTAGACCTCTCTCCCTCACATGGCTGGGAATAGACCCCTGGCATCTCAAGACCCCCCTAGGTGACAGCTGCTCTAACTAATAGACCATGCTGCCTCCATGTTACCGGGTGTACATTTACAGCTACCAACTCCTTGCCTTTTCTCCCTCTCTTCCCTATCTCCCAACTTGTCCCAGACCAGAATGGGAGGCGGATTGGGAGCGAAGCGTCCTACTACCCAGCTGGGACACACCTGGCTGTGTCGTTTGCCTCTTGGGAGACGGCTGAGCATTTTTTGCTGTCTGGATCCCATCCGCAGTAGGGGTCCTTGGCGAGGACACACTTCCAGCAGGTCTCCCTGTATTGCCCGCAGTCTGCCAGTGGCAGGCGCGTCACCTCGAACTCAGTGGCTGCATAGAGATGCCCCTGCCAAGGAGGGGCTGGGTTAGTCGAGGGTTTGAACTAACATGCAAGAAAGTCGGACGGGTGCGATGCAAGATGGGGTTGGCCTGGCAAAATTCCCGTTGAACTCTCTAGTGGCGGCAGGATCGGGCCCATAATGGACTTCACAAGCAAAAGCACTTAACGGGACGTGTCTGTGTTGGAAACAGGGGTTACGATCACGGCAGGCACACGGAGACGCTGGCCGAAAGCAAACCCTCTTGCGGGGGGGCTGCAGCAGAGCACGGCCGTCCTGCTTCCAACCCAGAGCGGTGACACACGACGAGCCAGGGAGACCCAAAGCAGGCTGCTCCCTGAAACAGAGAGGCCCAAGCCACCCCACCCCCCTCAAGGCTGCCTCTCCGCAGCTGCTGGACCCAGACCGGGGGCTCTCCTGCGGAGCCCCCCCGTCCCCCTGCAAGCTGGACCAGGAAAATCCCATCACGACTTTCAACAGGCCCCAGCGCTACATCCAGAGAGGGGGGAGGGTGCTTACTGTGGAGGCATCCAGGGCCAGCCCAGAGACGGGCGCGTCTCTCCGGAAAGGGCTCAGCTCCGCGATGATGACCGTCTGCCCTCTGCTCTGCAGGACTTTGTGGATCTTGCCTTTATCTGCAGCAGCCAGAGACACGGGGAGGTCAGAGAAAGGCGCCCGACCCCCCTCGGAGGCAATGGGAGCTCGGCCAGGGTTTCATCTGCATCTGGAAACGGATGGTCCAAGCAGGGAGAGGACACGCTGCCCTTGCTGGGCCTTCCCCCATGCCCCAGTTCTGCCCTGGGCCGGAGGGAAACACCATCCTCCCGGTTTGTGACATGGACCCCCGGGTCTCCTGTCACAAGGGCCAGCGAGCCGCCCTCGGACAGAACGGCACAAGCCATCCCCAGCCGGCGCTGGAGTCGAACTGGCAACCTGGAGGCAAATCTGCTGCATCCTGGCCTACACTTGGCCTCACAAGGCAAGCGCCCAGCACTGCAGAGTAAAAGAGACTCTCCTGGGGGAGGAGGCAGCCCGGCTGCTGTCTGCTCAGCAGTGACCAGGCCCCACCGGTCATGTGGCTGGCGAGGGGACAGGTGCTGCACACGCCTCGCCCTGCGATCCTCAGCTGCCTGACTTCTTGGGAGTGTGGGGACTAGTGCCTAGCGCAGGCAGCTGGGAGCCAGCGCTCCTGGGTTCTGTCCCTGGCTCTGGGAGGAGAGTGATGCCTAGTGGTTAGAGCAGGAAGGCTGGCCATTCCTGGGTGCTGTTCTTGCCTATCCCGTGTGGTCTTGGCCGCTCTGCATCCCTACAAATCTAAGTGCCCAGGAAGGGCTGAGTCCCAGAGAGAACATCCCTGGCTCCCTGCACACCTACCCGTTCCAAGGTAGAGGACAGTGCGAGAGGCGTTGCTGGCATCCCAGACCCTGTCGGCCACCACCCGGGTGTAGGTGTCATTAGTCTGCAGCACATACAGGGGGCGCTGCCCCTCTGGGTAGATGACGGCTTCAAGCTCTGGGTAATCTTTGATGATGGCAAGGACAGCTCTGGAGGGGGCACTGGGGGAATTGTAGGGGACACACTATGGAGAGAACAGAAGAGGAAGGGGGTAATAAAAAGGAAGGCAAAATTCTGCACAGACAGACCCTGCCCCCCACAAGCTGCTGCCTAGATGTCTATGAGGATCCTCCTAACTCATTGATGGGAAGAGGGTTTAATGCCCAGAGAGTGTAAAAGAGACGTAGGCACCTAATTCCTACTAAACATCAATGGGCATTAGGTGCTGAAATACCTCTGAGGCTCTGGATCTATGTCCCACTCTTGGGCTGTGTCTAAACTACATGGCTCCATCGATGGAACCATGTAGATAAGGGTTGTAGGCAAAGGGAAATGAAGCCGCGATTTAAATAATTGTGGCTTCATTTAAATTTACATGGCTGCCGCACTGGGCCGACAAACAGCTGATCAGCTGTTTGTTGGCTCATCACGCTAGTCTGGATGCTCCCCTGTCGACCTGAAAAAGTCAAAAATGTTCTGATGCAAATCCAGTTTGTTTTGAAAGGCTTCGCCTGTCTTTTAAAAAACAGGGGGAACCAGGTCCAAATGTGTTCTCTCCCAAATGAAAATGTTTTGATTTGCCAATTTTTTAAAAAATTTATTCTTGGGTTGGTCCAAATGATTCGTCCTGTGGTTTTCTGGACTTGACAGGGAACCGAAAAATGTCATGTGCCCAGCTCTTGTGTCTATGAGATTGCAATAGTCTGAGCTGAGCAAAATGTTTCAGACACGTCTGTCTCACCGCACAAAAAGGCGGAACCAGATCAATTGAAATGGTCTGTGAATTCATGTCGGTTTCCGCAAATTGTGTTAGCTGAACAAAACCCTTTAAAAAAAAAGTCAAAAATGTTCTGATGCAAATCCAGTTTGTTTTGAAAGGCTTCGCCTGTCTTTTAAAAAACAGGGGGAACCAGGAAGCAAGAGCCCCAAACCAAACTGTAAATGTTTTGATTTGCCAATTTAAAAAAAATATATATTCTTGGGTTGGTCCAAATGATTCGTCCTGTGGTTTTCTGGACTTGACAGGGAACCGAAAAATGTCATGTGCCCAGCTCTTGTGTCTATGAGATTGCAATAGTCTGCTACGGTCCATTCATCCTCTCTAGACATTTCTTTATTTATGGGGACCTGCTCCCCACAACCTAGTTATCTGTTCCTTAAGGCACCACATGGGACTCAGGGAGACCAGGGGCCATCCCTTGCTCTGCCACTGATCTGCTGGGTGACCTTGGGCACATCCCTTTCCCTTCCCAATTGTTCTTCCAGAATGCTACCCTGGAGTGATTTACCCTCTCCCTGCCACAAGTTCAGCTCAGGGACAGGTATCCAACAAACAGCTGGTTGTGCCCCAAAATGTGACATCTCTGAGGCATCTGGTGCTTGGAGGGGAAATAGCCTCCCCACCAGCCGGCGTGGAGAACTCTCGGTGCCTAACCTTCCAGGGGGCTGTGGAGCATGCTTCTTGGAGTGCAGTCAGCCCAGGGGAAACACCGCAAAACAAGGGAGGCTTCTGAGAAGAGAGGCCTGTGGAGAAGGTGCCAGCAAAGAATGGAGGAGAGGCAGCAGCTGGGAGCCACTGTGGGCAGCAGGAGGAGATGGCTGGCTTTTCTTGGGAAGAATGGGGGGCTGTGGGCAGAGCTCTGGGTTACAACTGCATTTTCTTTGCTACCATTTAAAGAGAGGCAGCATGGCCTAGTGGGTAGAGCACAAGACTGCATTGCCCTGGACAGTGGCAGAGCTGGGAAAGGAACTCAGGCTGCAAAAGCCCCCCTGCTCTATCCAATAGGCCACACTGCCAGTCATTAAATGCTTGTTTATGGGGAAACTGAGGCACTTAATACTGGGCACAGGCCGGTGTGTGGGGAGTTCTGGGGCTGGGTGAGGAGTGGGGAGAAAGGCTGTGACGCTATGGGGTTTTGTATGGAAACATCTCCCCGCACCCCCCAAAAAAATACAAACCCCCCCACTGGAGTTCCCTTCAGCCTCCCGGAAGTTCTGCCCAGTACGGAGGTGTGATGGGTAACGTGCCCGTATCGGCCTCCTGCTGGGCTTCTTGCACCGTTCCCTGAAGCACCAGGGGGCAAAGCCTCAGGTGATGTAAATTGCCATCTCTGTCACTCAGCTGGCTCTTCCACCCTGCACTGGTCACCGGGGAGGTGGTGGAGCAGGGTCTGACCCAGCCTAGTGGTAACTTCCTGGGGATGAGAGACACGAGCCTGCAGGTCCCCTTGCACCCTTTGGGCTGTGCTGAATACACGGGGGTGCTCAGGGCTCGGCCCGGGTCCCTGCCCACAATGCAGAGGAGCAAACCAACCTTGAAAATGACCCTGCAGCTGCTGGCTGTTCCCGGTGACCGAGACCGGGCCTTTTGCGGTCTCTGACTGCCCTGGGCAGCTCTCTGCTAACCCCCTGCCCCTCCGTTCACTGACAGCAACAGGGAGGGGGGGAGGGTCCCTTGGGGCCTCCCGGGGAGCCGTTTTGGGTCCGCGCGGGCCTCACCGTGCCGGGTCTGTGCGCTGGCAGGCCGCTGCCGTAGCCCTTGAGTCTGGAGGTTCGGAAGGCGTGAGCCACCTTGTCCATGGAGTAGGCGCACACGGCGGTCGTGCCCCTGCAGGGGAGAAACGCTCCCATCAGGCTTCGGTGGCTGGCAAGGCCAAGCCAGTTCCCAGTGGTTCTGGGCATTTCGTGCTGGGCTCTGAGGCCCACCCAACAGAAATGACCGGCCGGCACTGTGGATCCGAGCTGGACTCAGACAGCTGAGTTAGCTCCCCTGCTTGGGGAGGGGCAGAGGGAAAGGGAGCTTGGACACCCCGTCCCCATCTGTCACCGCCTTGCCCAGTGGGTGTCTGGCCTCTCTACACAGCTCTGGGCTGGGCCAGCTTCCTAGCCTACTGTGGGCAGGAGGGATGGTTCAGTAGCTTACCTGCTAAACCCATGGTTGTGAGTTCAATTCCTACAGAGGCCCTTTAGGAATTGGGGCAAAAATTTGTCAGGGATGGTGCTTGGTCCTGCTATGAAAACAGGGGACTGGACTCAATGACCTTTCAAGGTCCCTTCCAGTTCTAGGAGATAGGTAACCTCCATTTATTATTATTCATGGGCATTGTTTGGGGGGAAGGCGGGGTGTTGCTCTTCCAACCAACTGGAGCAGGCGTGGAATTTGCCACATTGGCCTGATTGGGGCTCTCCCCACCCCCCTCCACAAATACAGGAGCCAAACTTTGCCTGTGCTGTTCCCCTGGTGGCGGAGTGAGATTCTCCTGGCGAAGGGGCACCGTGGTTCCCATCTGTGCCAGGAGAACAGCAGGGTGGGCGAGAGCCACCTTGCCACCCATCAGAGCCCTGCCTCCTCCCCGTGCCGCCCCCCGGCATTGTTCGTTTTCAGGTACCTAAAAGGGTGTCATGAGGAGGGAGAAAACTTGTTCATCTTGGCCTCTGAGGATAGAACAAGAAGCAATGGGCTTAAACTGCAGCAAGGAAGCTTTAGGTTGGACATTAGGAAAAACTTCCTAACTGTCAGGGTGGGAATAAATTGCCCAGGGCAGTTGTGGAATCTCCATCACTGGAGATATTTAAGAGTAGGTTGGATAAAGGTCTATCAGGGATGGTCTAGACCGTACTGGGTCCTGCCATGAGGGCAGGGGACTGGACTCGATGACCTCTCAAGGTCCCTTCCAGTCCTAGTATTCTATGATTCTATGATTCCCCAGAAATGCATTTGTGGCTGGGCACAGAATGTTTGAAAAAGACAACAACAAACAATCAAACCAGTGAGGCAGAGGTGGGTGCAAAGTTCAAATTCCCCTCGCCCAGGACCACGGCGTCGCGCAGTTGGTTGAAGCGTTGTGGATGGGCGGGGCCACCGCACACCAGCCTCGCCTGGAGGAACGTGGTCCAGAAATCGACCAGGATGCTCTTCCCGCCTTCGTCCACCTGAGCGGGGCGGGAGAGGAAAAATCCCAGAGCTCATCCGGCCTAAAGCATGGAGGTTTCACTGCAACCCCTCCCATCCCGATCTACGTGGGGCCTGAAACCCCTGTGAGGCCCTGGCCTGTTCCAACTGCCGCTGGAGTTGTTATAACTACACATGGAGGGTTGATATCGCTCAAACCAGCCTCTTTAGTAGCAGCCACAACAGCTCATGTGGCCAACACTGTGACATCACCTTTGCTTCAGGGTTAGGCGCAGAGGTGAAAGGAAGCAGGTGCGCCCTGATGCGCAGCTCCAGCAAAAGCTGGCTGAGCTGCGGCAAAAGCCAGCAGGGAGCAATTGAAAGAGTTGGCTGAGACCCGGGTTGCAATTGGACAGTATCTGTAAAAAATGTCAAGTTACTTTCACCGCTGGCTAGGCGTAAAACCGGAAATCCTCCCGACATTTGCCCTTCATGGCCCGTGGGGTCTCCATACCTTACACACGCGGCCCAGCCGGGCTTTGATCGGCTCTTCATCCAGCCCCGCTGTCTTGTTGACTTCGTTGTAGAAAAAATAGATTTCATCCAGGTTGGTCTCCTTTTCCGGCACCCAGGCAGCGCTGACGAATTCTGCATCTGCAGGAGAAAAGGGGATCAAGGTGGGGAAGGAGGTCAAACTGCACAAGGAAATTCTGCTGGAGCCACTGGAGGGCTCCAGTAATTCCTTGGCCCTGTCAAGATACGGGCAGGGTGGAGTCATGCACATCGGCAACCCCAGGCCCCTCAAAACAATGATGCTGGCTTTAAAATAATGTGATTTTTAAAATAAAGAAATGTGGGGTTCTGATTGCTCCCAGTCGTTAGGAATCACATTTTCCAGCTTTCCTCTGCAACCCGGAGAACAAAATAATTATTATGTGTAAATGTAAGGCCAGCTGAGTTTCTCTTGCAATCACAGGACTCTCTGAACTTTAAGAAGGACATCGACTACTCTTACGCTTGCAAGACTGTTGCGAGAGTGGCCTCCACTAGACTGCATCTGTTTCCTAAAGTAATAGGGATCCTCCCGAGTTCACAAAGCGCTTTCCAAAGGAGGGGAGGGATCCTTATTCCCATTTTACTGATGGGGAAATTGAGGTACAGGGAGAGACCATCCAGCAGCAAAACCAGAACCTAGGTCTCCTGTTCCCCACTCAAGTGCCCCACCCGCTAGGATACATTTTAATATGGGAATCAGAGATTCGACGACTGGCAGAGAATCTGCATAATCTCTGCAGTGGGGGCAGGGGATTTCTCCCTCTCCCCCCGCTCCCCTCCCCCACTGCTGCAATGTGCCCATTCCCAGCTTTTTGCCATGCTTGCAAAATTGTCTCTGAAGCTTCTTACTATGACTTTGCCAACCCAGCTTGCTAGAGCTGAAGGGTCTGAAAACACCATGCTCTGTGGCCAACATGCGGAACTCCCTGCTGCAGGGGTTTAGCAAGGCAAGGCAAACGCTGGGGTGGGGGGGGGCTGGACAGGTCTACCACCAATATATCACACTGCGCTTTCAGCTGAGACTGGGGTGACAACGTTTCCTGCTAAAGGGACCCAGCTGATCACTCCAGTGGGATGGAGTGGCACATGCAAGGTTTGATGCAGTGTCTCTCTGCAGCGAGATCTGCCTTCGTCTGCAGCATCAGGGCCCTTCTGCTGCCGGAGGTGACAGAGCTTTGGGGAAAGCATCAGGCCCCCCCGGGCTGTGGTGCCCCTCCCTGGGGCTGGTCCCTAGGCAAAGCGCCTCTTACCGGTTAGCCATCTGTCTTCTGTCCTCAGCAGCTTCCTCGGGCCATAGCTCCTCTGGATGGTGCTTTTGTCCCGGGACAACGCCGAGTACAGGTTGCCCTCTGCAATATTAACCCAAGACAAAAATACGGTGGGTGTTCTCCATGGGGGGAATAGGTCAGATCCACTTTCAGAACAAAGAGACCCCCGCCCCCTATGCCATGGGCAACACAGAACAAAGCTGCTTTTTCATGGCCAGCCCCAAGTCACACAGGGCAGAGGAGGGCTCGAATCCACATCCTGCTTTCCAGCTGCCTGCGCTAATCACTAGCCCTCATTCCCGTCTACAGCTGGGAATGGAGCCCAGGGATCCGGGTGCCCCAACCCCTGCTCCAACCATTAGGCTTCCTCGCCGGGACAACAATCCAGGAGCCCTGGCTTTCCGTTGCCTACTCTAACCACTAGCTCACATTCCCTCCTGGCGTGAACTCCTGGGTCCTGGCCCCCACCACCTCTCAGCAGAGTGTCAAAGGCCACCTGGGCTGCAGTGGGGGCTCTCCACCAAAGAAGGGAATTTCTTGATTGGCACCAGTCCTGCCCCCCACCTGCCCTGCCCATTGGCCCTTCCCTAGGGCTGGACCCTTTGCACAGGTTCAGTGCTTTTCCAGCACTGCTCCTCTGGGACTCGGGATTCAAGCAGCCAGAGAACGCACCCAAGGCGCGGCCCGAGGGGACCCCAGGGGGCTCCCCCCCCACTCTATCTGGGGCCTTGGCTGAGCGAGGCAGACCTCCTCACCCACAGCGATGGCTGCAGCTGGCTGCGATGGGGATCCTGGGGCGAGGTTCTCCCCGCTGATGGTGACGGCTTGGCCCCGCTGGTCCTGCTGCAGCTTCGTGGTGTTGCTCTGGGGGCGAAACCCAATCATTTCGATAGATCGTCTTACCCATGCTGAGCCCAGCTGAGCTCTCCTGGTCCCCAGCAGCCTGGCGTGCCTCTGATTCTATTTTCCCTGGGAGGCAGCATCCAGCTTACACACAGGGGGGACACACCCATGGAGAGAAGCAGGGGACATGGCAGTCTGCTGCAAAGCCGGGAAGAGAACCCAGGAGTCCGGGCACCCACTCACCCCTGTGTCAACCCCTGCACTCCAGAGCTAGGAAGGGAGCCCGGGGTACTGGCTCCCTACCACCCCTCCTCCAACACCTACCCCCCACTCCTCTTCCAGAGCTTGTGAATGGAACCCTTGACCATTCATTATCAGTGGGAAATAGGTCAATGGAGGGATGACAGGAGTTGCTATAGAGAACTTTCTGGGTGTCTGGCTGGTGAGTCTTGCCCACATGCTCAGGGTTTAGCTGATCTCCATATTTGGGGTCGGGAAGGAATTTTCCTCCAGGGTAGATTGGCAGAGGCCCTGGAGGTTTTTCGCCTTTCTCTGTAGCATGGGGTCCAGATCACAGCTGGAGGATTCTCTGCATCTTAGGGTCTTCAAAGTATTTGAAGGCTTCAATATCTGAGATATAGGCGAGAGGATTATTCTAGGAGGGGGTGGGTGAGATTCTGTGGCCTGCACTGTGCAGGGGGTCAGACTAGATGATCATAATGGTCCCTTCTGACCTTAAAGTCTATGAATCTATGAGTCTATGAACCCAGGAGTCCTTACTCCCAGCCCCTGGTTTAACCCACTGGGCTCACATTTCCTAACTACTCAAAAGAGATCTTGGAGTCACTGTGGATAGTTCTCTGAAAACATCCACTCAGTGGGCAGCGGCCGTCAAAAAAGCAAATAGAATGTTAGGAATCATTTTAAAAGGGATAGAAAATAAGACAGAGAATATCTTACTGCCTCTATATAAAACCATGGTACACCCACATCTGGAATACTGTATACAGATATGGTCGCCTCATCTCAAAATAAGATCTATCGGCATTGGAAAAGGTTCAGAAAAGGGCAACAAAAATGATGAGGGGTTTAGAACGGGTCCCACGTGAAAAGAGATTAAAAAGATTGGGACCTTTCAGCTTAGAAAAGAGGAGACTGGGGGGGATGTGAGAGAGGTCTATAAAATCATGACTGGTGTGGAAAAAGTGAATAAGGAAAAGTTATTTACTTATTCCCACAATATAAGAACCAGGGGTCACCAAATGAAATTAATAGGCAGAAGGTTTAAAACAAACAAAAGGAAGGGGTTTTTTTTACGCAGCACACAGTCAACCTGTGGAACTCCTTGCCAGAGGATGTGGTGAAGGCTAGAACTTTAACAGGGTTCTAAAAAGAGCTAGATAGATTCATGGAGGTTAGGTCCATCAGTGGCTGTTAGCCAGGATGGGCAGGGATGGTGTTCCTAGCCTCTGTTTCTCTGGAAGTAGGTGACAGGGGAGGGAATCTCATGAGGATTCCCTGTTGTGTTCCCTCCCTTTGGGATATCTGGCATTGGCCAGTGTCGGCAGACAGGATACTGGGCTAAATGGACCTTTGTTCTGACCCAGTCTGGCAGTTCTTATGTTCCTTAAGAGATGCTGTGGGAGAATTTGACTGGTCACGGGGCCAAATTATAGACCCGGGATGGAAATGTCCCAGCCCAGTTCTGAGTGAGGTGCCTGGTGCCCCGTGTCCGTGGGCCACTCTCTACACATTCCCCCTGCCTCCCACGCTCACCAGGAACCAGCATTTGGGGGACCCAGCGTTGGTGCCACAGGCGATGAGGGAGCTGCCGTTCAGCCTCTGGATCACCTGGATGTAGTTGTCACACTCAGCCTGCGGAACAAGCAGCCCAAAGCACCACGGTTAGTGCTCATCACAGGTCCCTGGCATTAATGGCTAGCACAGAGCCGGCCCTCTGCATTACGCTGAGCAGGTAGACCTGCCACATCCTCTGTGTATGATCACACACACATGATAGAGCCCTGATGCGTGACAGAGCCCAGGGCACAGCAGGGATAAAACCCACGAGTCCTGATTCCCCATCCTCTGCTCCCACCACTAGACCCCACTTCCCTCCCAGAGCTGGGAACAATACTCAGCAGGGCCAGGTTAAGACATAGCTTAGGGCCTCAGCTATGTCCAGTGTAAGAGGCCCGATAGCATTGCCAGAAATGTGTATTATTCCAACACAAAGGACAATGAAAATAGAAATAATAAAGTTTCCTATTTGCATCTACACCAGTACATAGGCAAGTATGGAACTAAAAACTAGAGGCTGAACACTAAAAACTAGCGTAGCACCCTTGGGACCTGACCAGTGGTGAAAAAGAGAATTTGCTGGACCACGGGTGGCCAATATTGTCTAGCAGCATTAGCAAGACCGCCACTGCTTGCCGGGCTCCGAGAAGACATGGAGGGCTAAATTAGAGCTAAAGAACAGCACAGAACCCTGAGAGCCAGGACTGGGGGCTGTCAACAAACTTTACGGGACCGTGGGAAACTTGGCCACACCCATGCTAAGGGGACATCTGGCTCACTCAAATCCTGCTGGGCAATGGCTATTTCAGGACCAGAGAGAGCCAGACTAGAGAGGTTCAACCTGTAATAACTGAGGCCCTGAACTGCAGTTTACTGAGCTCATGCATAAATCCAGCACCGAAGGAGTCCTACCTCCCCATCCCCTTTTGCTCTACCTAGCAGACCCCGTTCCCCTGCAGGAGCTGGGAACGGAGCCCAGAGTCTTGCCTCCCCCTTGCTCTACCCACTAGATCACCTCCCCCCACGTGACGCCTGCAATGCTGTCTGTGCAGTGGTAGCCAGATGTTCCCAGGAAATGAAGACGCGGCAGCGGTGAAGGAAGCTCAAAGCAGCCTTGGAGCCAAGCCTGATGTGTGGTGAAGGGAGGAAGGAGGGGGGGTTCCTCCATGCTCAGCACCATGGGGGTGCCTCTATACCTCATTAGTCATCTCTGGGGGGGACTCAACATGCGTCTGGGGGTGTTTAGCTGCTCACGCCTCATCCCTCTCACCTGCACTGCCCCAGGCTTGCTCCTGCATGTCTTCTCCGCCTTCTCGTCGACCTGCAGGGGAACCTGGGAGGCAGACGGGAGCAAGGCTGATCAGACCCCGGTCACGGGGGGTGGGGGGGGATGGGGGTGAGGAGAAGGTGCAGTGCAGTAATCCTCAAGGGGTTGTGCTTTTGATCAGCCACAGGAGGGGTCCCCCAGGCCTCTGATGCTGGCTGGACCCCATCTTCCCACAGACCTCACTGCCCAACCCTCCCTCCCTCCCACCTGCAGCGCCTATGCAAGGAGGGGGGGATGTGGCAGTAACCCCCTGTTTATTGGGGCCTGTCTCACGGCGCCTCTTTGTGGCAGTAATCCTCAAGGGGTTGTGCTTTTGATCAGCCACAGGAGGGGTCCCCCAGGCCTCTGATGCTGGCTGGACCCCATCTTCCCACAGACCTCACTGCCCAACCCTCCCTCCCTCCCACCTGCAGCGCCTATGCAAGGAGGGGGGGATGTGGCAGTAACCCCCTGTTTATTGGGGCCTGTCTCACGGCGCCTCTTTGTGCACCCGGGGGGGGTGATGCAAGCAGAGACAGCCCCTGGTCTCTCTGGCCCGTCTCGTGGCTAACAGGCCAGCCTTCCAAGGGGCTCCCCTTTTGAAGCCAGACCCAGGCTCAGCTGGGAGCTGCCTTCTCCAGACTGGGCTGAGGGCGGCTGATGCAAGGAGAGGAGGCCATGCCCATAGGTTGTGGTCCTTGCTGGCTGACCCTGAGCTGGTCTCCTCCAGAAGCTCCCATGCTGTTCGTCGGCTTGACAGCTCTGGGGCCTCCAGCTGAGTCTGGCTGACCATACACCATCATTGCACACGGGGGGAGGGGGAACGAGAGGTGCTAGGGACCCCCACACACCCTACCTCTCACCTGGGTCTGGTTGAACTCCGCCTCCTTAAACGTCAAGACACGCAGCACCCCCCTGCCTCCAACATACAGCTGCTCAGATCCGGCGTCATAGAAGAGGACTGTGGACTTCTCCCCATTCTCGAAGCTCAGCACCGGGATGTCTGGGGTGGGGGGCAGGACGGGAAAGGTGAGGAGGAAGTTTGCTGAAGGCTGAAATCCAGACTCTACCCCAGCCTGGCCTGCCCACTGCAAATCCAGCTGGTTCCTTTCCTCTCTAAGGCAGACACATAGCAATCGGCCTGCCTGTTTACAGAAGGGGAAACTGAGGCACGCCATAGCTTGGGACCCACAGAGGGCTAGCTGCAGAGCTGGGACGAGAACCCAGAAATTCCCAATTCACAGCGCAGGTTTGCTCAACCACACAGCTTGTCCTGTGGCCGCCAGACCCGGCCTGGGGCAATTCACATGTCAGGGCCCATTCGGAGGCTTGGTTTCTCTTCCCAGATACAGGATCCCAAACTGGATGGCGGCTTCTTTGTAGAGTGGACACTAGGGACTGGACTGATGTGCCAAACCCATCCCGTGCCTGTCGAAGGGTTAAAGAGACGCCCTCTGCTCTTGCTCCAGGAGAAGAGGAATGACCTAGCTCCAGCCTGCCTAATCCATGTATTATAAACATAGCCCAGTGTGCACCCTGTCCGGGGTTAGCTTGAAAATCTCAGTCCCAGGCAGGCCGCAACTCTGCCCCAGCGGGGCCAGTCTGAGCAGTGTTTGTTGATGACCGGTCCATGGACCGGATCCAGTTCTGCGATTTCCCTGACACTCTAGGAAGGCAGCAAGCCAGGCCCTGGTACCAAAAAGATTGAGAAACCCTCATGTGGAACGCAGCACCCAACCTATTTGGTACACAAGCAGGTCCACGGGGCGCCAGTAGGGGGCGCTGATGCACAAGCGCATTGCTCTAGCTAATCCAAGTGCCTAAACACCTTGTCACACGTGCCCTGCCACCGTGGTGGTGCTGGATGCAGTACAAGCCCATGTAGACAGCCGGTCCCTGCTCCGCTGCGACAGCACACCGCCATGGGCTGCTCCTTGCTGCTGTCAGTCAGGCCAATGCCCTGTTGCTCTTCAAGCTGGTACCTGGCCCCAGCCAGGGACTCGGTCTCTGTCAGACGTGCGGTGATCTGTCCTCTTAACTTCCCATGCAGCAGGGAGCACCATTACATTTTCATGGGTGCAGTGGTCTCCAGCGGACATGGCAGTAACTATGGGCATGATCGTGTCTCTGATCCTGGTAATAAGGCTGTGCAGGGGATATCACAAAACACCCACAAGAGGGCGGAGGACAGCCTGGTGGCTGAACATCAGGGCTCAGAGGGTTAATCACCTGCGGCTCTGGCAACAGCAAAACTTCTCCTTCACCCTCAGCTGGGGCTGTGGGCATTGAGGGTCTGTCTAGACTGCATGCTTATTTCGGAACGAGCTAGTCTGGAAGAAATACTCCGAAAGAGCTTATTTCGAAATAGCACGTCCACACTACGGGGAAGCCTCGAAATTAGTCCGAAGCGACGCGCTACCTTGATTTAGAGCCCCAGGAAGCACTAGGGAGTAACGACTTTGATTGGCCCTGGGGAGGGGCGATTTCAAAATAGCGATTTCGGAAGAGGCGTTATTCCGCGTGGCAGGAGGTTTACAGATGGCCGAATAAGCCGTCCGTTGTGCCCGATTCATTTCGAAATAACAGAATTGCTGTGTAGACGCTGGCATGGTTATTCCGAAATAACGCTGCTGTGTAGACGCATCCGAACAGGGGAAATAATGCCACCCATCTGGATTTTCCTTAAAGAATTTCATATCTCCCTTCTATGGACCAAATCCCCTGACCTAGAGCTGAGCTGGGAGTCAAGAAGATTTAGGGAGGGCTTCCTGCTGGAGAAGTAATAAAGGCTACAGCTGGCTGCTATTCGATTAGGGCCTGCTCCAAAGTCCACTGAAGTCAAAGGGATTCTTCCTATTCACTTCAATGAGCTTTGCATCACACCTTGGTGAGGTCTGTTTGATTAGGCAAAATGACAGAGTTCTGTAAAGGGTTTGCCTGCACTAGTGGCCCACTTCTCCTTAATACAATCTGTTTGAAGTAAATTATTTAGTAAACTTACCTAAGGCACTAAGAGAAATCCACTGAATGCCCAGATTCTGATTCTGCAAATGGCTCCGATGATCTGACCATTCAGAGCCTTGTAGAAATTATTGGAGCACTTGTCTACCCACAGATCTGCTTGAAGCATCAGGTTTTTACTGCCATGTTGTTTCACTTTATTCCATACTCCCCTTTCTTTTGGGTGTTGGCTTCTGGAACAAAAATGATTTTCAGTTCAAAGGTTCCATTCATTAAAAATGGCTTAAAAAAATAAAAATCTGCTGTTTGTCCCCTAGTGGTTCTGTATTTTAGGGCTGAAATGTTGTTGCAGTGATTTGGACTTTGTTGCTGTTTTGTGTTTTAACTGCTGTTTTCATCATTTCTCAGCTGACAGAACAAATTGTATTTGGGATATGTACTGAACAAAAATGTTCAAAGTAATACATTTTACTCAAATGACATCTAGAGCTAAATAAGTTCTGAACTAAATAAGTTCGGAACCCTGGGAGGGTTATACCTTTAGTAAGCATTAGATCATTGTTATTCACTTACTTTTATTAGTAGCCGTTATTATTATTTTGTTGTGTTTCTTCAGTATAAAAACCTAAAAGATTTGACATGTTGATTTTATAATCTGACTTGGGATTTTGAAATTGCAGTCAATCTGGAAGTGAAGGTGAAGGTATTAGTGAATCGAACCAATGTTTTAGGGCAAAGGGTAACATATGAAGACATTAACTAACAAATCAAAATGAAAACTTTCACCTTATTTGTAAAAGAAATGTTAGATTTACTTTTAGAATGATTAAAACACACATGTAGTACTGTTTTATGTCTCTAGCAAAGTATAACAGATTGACTGCGAGTTTATTAGGGGTGGGGGGAAGAATGTGCTGAAAGATTTTTATTATGTGAGAAAGAGAGAACAAAACCAAGGAAACATCTGGACAATTAATCTCCCAAATCTTTGTATATAACATGAAGAAAATTACTCAAATATTGCAGGAGCCTTGCTCAGAAACAAAATAGCTATTGTTAGCAAAGCACAATATATTACCATCTTGCATATAAAGTTCTGTGTAATTAATAATTAATTGATGCCCCTTTATTGTTTACATGTGGAAAAATAAAAAGCCGGGGGGTCTGCTGGGCTGAGCAGAGCACGGCCAGGAGCAGCCAAGGTAGCGCCCGCATGTGTCCGCTGGGGAGAATTTCCTTCCCTGCAGGCGGCTGCTGTCTAGCTCCGCTCCGGGCGCTGGCTCTGGCCGGCTCCTCTGCAGCCTCGCTTTTTATACCCGCTGCCCTGAGCCGTCGCAGAACTTCCTCCTCCCAAGCCAACAGCCCTCTCCGAGCGCCGCAAAATGGAGCGCCACGAAGCCGCTCCAGCAAGAAACTGGAGGGGTGGGGGGAATCACAGGGGTTGCCCGTCGATCAGTGGAGATGCGCGGGGATTTGCTAGGCTGAGCATCGAACCCGCAGGAGCAAGGCTTGGTGCTGGGGGCAGGCGTGGCAGGCTCCGTATTTCGTCCTGGTTTCAGCCGTCAGAAAGACCACCCCGCCTGGTTAGGGCTCGCTTTCTCCCCCCACTCTCTGCTTTCTAATTCAGCCCCTGTGCCTCTTGCTCCATATTTGTCCTCTGAAGAAGGAGGATGTGCCCACCAAAGCTCATGATATTATCTATCTGTTTTGGGGTGTGTCTCTGACACGGGTTGGTCTACACAGCAACACAATTTCAAAAAAACGAGCATTGTTTGGAAATAAGTTAGGGTACATCTACACTTCACGGCTATTTCGGGATACCGAAAGAGCTATCCCGCGTCTGCGGAAGCCGCCTTGTATTTTTGAAATATTTTTCGAAATAACGGGCACGCTATTTCACCATCCCAGTAAGCCTCGTGGCACGAGGGATAAGGAATGGCTTGAAATAGGGTGCTATTTCAAAATTTGGCGCTGTGTAGACATGCCAAATTTCAAAATAGCCTATTTCGAAATAGATTCTTTCTAATTTAGGGTGCTATGTAGACGCACCCTTAGTCATCATCTAATAAACCATCTTGTTAGTCTTTAAAGCGCTACATAGTCCTGCATTTTGCTTCAGCTACTCCAGACTAACACGGCAACATTTCTATTTCTATAAATCAGGCATTTATTTTGAAATAATGTCAAAATACTGTCAAGCTGGCGGACTTCTTACTCCAACTCCCGTAACCCTCATTGAGGACTAAGAGACGTTGGAGGAAGAGTGCTCTATTTTGAAATAAATGCTGTATAGACCCTCCCAATTTTGAAATAAGCTACGCGAAAGATGTAGCACAATTTGCGTGGCTTATTTTGAGTTAAGACCTGCTGGGTAGACACACCCTAAGGGTACATCTACACACTAGCATGCTCCTCAAAATAAGCGACATAAATTGTGTCGCTTATTTCGAAATAGCTTATTTTGAAATGTGGCGCTGTCTACACAGCACTACTTTTGAAATAAATCGCTATTCCGGTGTCTTCCTTAATCCTTGTGCAACGAGGAAGCCGGAATAAGAAGCCCGTTATTTCGAATGTATTTTGAAATAACGGGTGTGATGTTAAGATGCGCAGAATGCTATTGAGGGTTAACAGACATTAATCCCGAAATAGCGCCGCTGTGTGGACGTTCCCCCAGGGCTACAGGACCCGTGTTGTTTTTCAAGTTGCTTTAGCAGGTTCACTTGAGGCCAGATGGTCATTCCCCTGCGTATCTCTTCCGCCAGGCTCCAGGAGGGCCGCAGAGTCTGTGATGCTGCCTGGAGCTCGTGAGCTCGGACACTGGCGCTAACCCGGACAGGGGTTGAGGCGTAAAACTGAGGAGGGTTTTTAGTTCCCCTAGTTAAAAGGCCTCTGCCAAAGGAACCGTTGCCATGGTGAGGGATCCTGTGCTCCACAGAAGGGGCCTGGTTCTTGGCTAGACTAGGGCCCCTCAGGTGGGCCATCCATGAGGCTGAAATTAGACTCCAAGACTCTCCCCTGTGCAGGGCTCTCTTTGGAGCTGAGATTAGCTTCTGCAGTGGGTGCTTCAAGGCAAAGCCAATCTTAGCTGCACCCATGCGGTGCAGGGCTCTGTCCTCTCAAAGGGCACCTGGGCCCAAAACTGGGGTGGACGAGTTGCTATGGCGAACAAGCCCAACAGGCAGCCAAAGCGCATGTGTCTAGATCGGGGTCGGGG